ACACTTAAGCGAAATATCTACTGTGTCTACACTCCACCTAAGCCAAATATGTACTGTGTCTTCACTCCACCTAAGCCAAATATGTACTGTGTCTACACTCCACTTAAGCGAAATATCTACTGTGTCTACACTCCACTTAAGCTAAATATGTACTGTGTCTTCACTCCACTTAAGCGAAATATCTACTGTGTCTACAATAACCTTAAACCAAGTATCTACTATGTCTACACACCACCTAAGCTAAATATGTACTGTGTCTACACTCCACCTAAGCCAAATATGTACTGTGTCTACACTCCACTTAAGCGAAATATCTACTGTGTCTACACTCCACCTAAGCCAAATATGTACTGTGTCTACACTCCACCTAAGCCAAATATGTACTGTGTCTACACTCCACTTAAGCTAAATATCTACTATATCTACACTACACTTAAACCAAGTATCTACTATGTCTACACTACACTTAAACCAAAAATCTACTGTGTCTACAATAACCTTAAACCAAGTATCAACTATGTCTACACTACACTTAAACCAAAAAGCTACTGTGTCTACAATAACCTTAAACCAAGTATCAACTATGTCTACACTACACTTAAACCAAAAATCTACTGTGTCTACAATACACTTAAACCAAGTATCTACTATGTCTACACTACACTTAAACCAAAAATCTACTGTGTCTACAATAACCTTAAACTAAGTATCTACTATGTCTACACTACACTTAAACCAAAAATCTACTGTGTCTACAATAACCTTAAACCAAGTATCTACTATGTCTACACTCCACCTAAGCCAAATATGTACGGTGTCTTCACTCCACCTAAGCTAAATATGTAATGTGTCTACACTCCACTTAAGCGAAATATCTACTCTGTCTACACTCTACTTAAGCTAAATATGTATTGTGTCTGCACTCCACATAAGCTAGATATCTAATGTGTCTACACTCCACCTAAGCCACAAATATGTACTGTGTCTACACTATACTTAAGCTAAATATCTACTGTGTCTACACTGCTTAGAATGACTTTAAAATAATACCATACATAAATTAGGTCAACAGACGTGTTCCACATTCCATGAATAAATAACTTTACATTTAAATTTGCTGATTAGAACTATATTGAAACATTTGTTTACTTGACAAGTTTAATAAGACTCTTATAATAATTAATAGAAAACATTTCCTAGAGGACAGCAGAAAATTGTAAATTTTAGTCATTTTATTACTTAGTCATAAAAAGCAAATGGACAACAGAATTACACTGATATCTGTCAGGTGTCAAATAGATTATACAAGATGTTGACTGTATCATCATAAATCTGTAAGAAGTGCAGTACAAAGCAGATACTGTATTTTTCCAAATCTATTTTATAAGATTCTAAAGTCCCATTATTGTTTTAGAATCTTGTTAACACGACACGCGTGTATCTAGGCCACTATATCTTCTTACATTACCTCAAAGATTAAGCTTTAGTTGTTTGAAAATAAAATGTAGACATAACTTGTAACGAAATGGGCAATAAAACAGCTTTTCGTACAGTTAATTATTGCAAATTTAAATACTGTTCGTGACTATAGTATCTAACCCTTTAAAATGAAATAATAATCCTTCAGAATGAACGGAAATCCGAAGGAACACGAATATGTCCAAACAATAATGAATTCGTATTGAAGAAAAATGATCACTAGTGATGAAAAGTGAATTATTACTGTGTAATAATAATGGTAAGTAGGGATATAGAATTATCTTAATTACCATTTTAAGTAATTTAATGCTAGGCACTAATTTCCCTGAAATAAACACTTTTAAATTACGAAACCTAACATGATTTTATTAATGTTGAAGAGTTTGGTAACTTCGTAGAACATGTATTCTTATATAATAATAAGCTTAAAGTAAATACCTTTGCATATTTAATGAAGATAAGTTATAGGAATATGTGAATGTTTGCATATAAATGTAATAGCAGAAATAGCAGGAACATCGTATGAAAATAAATGAAAACATAACGCAGAATTCAGTTATAATAAATTCCATTCGGTTGTCATTGCACGAAATCTCTACTGTTTCGAATCTCTTTAATTTATCTCAACTATCTTGATGCAATACATTTGTCTAGTTGAATAGAATGCAAACTAATGAAAACGTTTTGTGCGTTTCTACAAAATTTAGAACATCGAAGAAGGTTATGCAAGTGGTAACATTGAACAAAATATAAAACTATTAAACTAAACAGCTATTCGAGGAAGCATTGCAAACCATTAGGATGACGAGTTCTGATACTGATCGAAAAGCTTCCTAGACAATGACTTATGAGAAGCAAAACGTGAATCTGGAATGCTACTTTTACATAACGTTGATTTGGAGTACATGCTGGACAAAATAAATGAAATACTTCTACAGTCAACGAGATGTATCTATCTTTGTATACAGTTTGAACTTGAACTGTATTTAACCAGACACCGTAAAGCATTTCTTGTATCCTTCGTGCACTAAAGTATGTTAGTAGACAATCCAGTACACTCGTGTTTCATCAGCAGAAGAAAAAAAAACGACATTGTCGTTGTATGATTTGAATAACTAATTAAGCCAGCAAGGAACATGCCAACTATTGCTTGTAAGTAAAACCCACTCGTTCGTTTAATCGGTATATAGGAATTTTGAACAAGATAATTTAAATTTCTGTTCTTCGTTTTTTAAAAAATGCCGAATTTTTCCTTTGGGAAATTTTGAAGAGAGACAGGAGCATATATAACACTCAGCCTGGAAGTTATCATTCGAGGACGTGACGTTCTGCGTTACGAGTAACCATGGTTGATGCTTATACGTTATTAATCCTTGATATTCTGTTTGTTGAGCCATGCCCACTGCTGAGTTAGTTTCCTTGGACGCACGACTGAATCAAGTAGATGAATGAAAGAAGAAAAAAAGGACATATAGTTATGCAAACCAGAAGAGAAATAAAAAGGACTTTGGGTAAAGAAAAATTATTTCAGAACTGGATTGGCGTAAGAGATCTATAATAAAACATCATAGCGAATCAAAATAGCTCGAGTTTTAGTTGTAATTAACAGCTTTATTTTCTATCCATCTAGAAGCTGTAAAGGTGCATGCTACCATAGTAGTACAGACCTACCTAGCTAGTTCCAACGAGTTAAATATCAAAAGGAAATACACGTAAAACTCCATGACGTTTTGGGACAGCGTCTGTGGGTTAAATATACTAATTTGTATCTGTTTATTCATCGCTATAAATGATCAAACTGTGGGTTAGAGGGCAGATTCATCTCATCACTTGCTAGAAACATCACCATTGAGCGATGATTTGGCTAAAACTAAGAGCCTCACATTGTTCCAGTTTACGGATAATAACTGAGGAGATGTAATTTATCCTCTGGCAAGAACTTGTTTAAAAATTAACATCACGTGAAAATGGCAGAGGTTAATATGGCAAAGATATCTGACGTAAAAGAAATTCGTTTCTTCGTTTTTAGAGAACGTAGAGATAATTCTTAGTTATGTGGAAACAATCAAAACAAACCCCGGGTACGAGAATACCCTCCATTAATAAAGAATGAGACTGACATACGAAAAGACATCTCCCAAATGTAAGAAACAGCTATAAGAGTTAGACAAGTCATCTCTTGTGTCTAAGAAATAAGAGATGTTACTCTATCAGAGTTGTGATAAGTCACTGCAGAAAGATGAAATGAAAAATGTGATAAAGAAGTAAAATAACCAAATTTAAAAAAAGGATTAAAGGTAAAATGTCAAGTGTAAGATGCAAAAACTAAAATGACAAGTGATACAACATCATAAGAATTTACGTCGATTTGCTGTGCAAGAGCCGTACTCGAAAATTATAAACATATATAGAAAATAATTCAGTGAGCTTTACCATCGATGTTATCTTCATTAATTGTAAAGAAAATTGATTATAAATAGTATATCCAACAATTAACTTAATGAATTGTAAGGAAAGTTGACTTGTATATAGTATGTTCAACAATTAACTGAATGAATTGTAAGGAAAGTTGACTTGTGTATAGTATATCCAACACTTAACTTCATGAATTGTAAGGAAAGTTGACTTGTGTATAGTATATCCAACAATTAACTTCATGAATTGTAAGGAAAGTTGACTTGTGTATAGTATATCCAACACTTAACTTCATGAATTGTAAGGAAAGTTGACTTGTGTATAGTATATCCAACAATTAACTGAATGAATTGTAAGGAAAGTTGACTTGTGTATAGTATATCCAACAATTAACTTAATGAATTGTAAGGAAAGTTGACTTGTGTATAGTATATCCAACACTTAACTTCATGAATTGTAAGGAAAGTTGACTTGTGTATAGTATATCCAACAATTAACTTAATGAATTGTAAAGAAAGTTGACTTGTATACAGTATGTTCAACAATTAACTTAATGAATTGTAAGGAAAGTTGACTTGTGTATAGTATATCCAACAATTGTTTTCATGAATTGTAAGGAAAGTTGACTTGTGTATAGTATATCCAACAATTAACTTAATGAATTGTAAGGAAAGTTGACTTGTATGTAGTATGTTCAACAATTAACTTAATGAATTATAAATAATGTTGACTTGTGTATAGTATATCCAACAATTATCTTCATGAATTGTAAATAATGTTGACCTGTAAAAAGTATATCCAACAACTGTCTTCATGAAAAGTTGACTTGTGTGTATAGTTTATCAAAAGAAGTTTACATTTGAGTAAACTAGTAGGTTTTGCGAACATATTTTATCCTTAAATAAACAAATCGGATTTTTAGCAAAAATGGCAACAGAAACGTGGGCCATTTGAATACGTCATTGTAAACTACATAGCTTATTTTGTCTCAACAATTTCGAAACGAATATCAATAAAGATAGAAATTACATTAATTAAATCCGTAATATTAAGTAAAATTACGAAATTAATTCTTTTTAATCGTCTC